CGTGTCCCTCATCTGGTGACCAACTATATCATATAATCTATTATCGAATTATTCTTTCTCAAATCCGATTTTCATTTATGTCACTCTTCTGATTAGGAAGCTTACCCCCTGACCTACCTATGGCTGAATATAAAATTGTTAGCCATTTGTTCAAACCTTTTTGACAGCTGGTCCACCCCAGCGACCATTCATTCATTCATTCATTTATTCAACAAACCTTAATTAAACACTTGGGATGTGCAAAAAAATTAAACACTAGGGATATACAGAGAAATAGTACATGATCCTGACCTTGAAGGAGATTACAGTTGTGGTCAGGGAGTTATCCAGATCAGCCCATTATTGTAATCCAGGATAATAAGGGCGATGACAGAGGGTATTAAGGCAGCACATTGAAGGGGCACTTCACTTACAAAGTGGGCTCAAGGAGGGTAGCTTAGAGGTGAGGCTGGTGCCGAATCCTGTGGGACAAGTTGAGTGCAGGGTGTGGAGCAGGGAGTGTTGAGAGGTGAGGTTGGGAGAGCTAAGCAGGGGCAATCATGAAAGATTTTGTGGGCAAAAGTAAGGAGTACAGATTTTATCCTACAGACTGTGGACAGCCACAATAGGCTTTTAGGCAGGAGATGTTGACATCATCAGATTTGCATTTTAGAAAGGTTTGCTGTGGCCTTAGCATGGAGAATGGATTGGAGGAGGGCAAGATTGGAAACAGTGAAGACTTAATAAAATAGATAAGAAATGAGGGTCTGAACTAATGTGCTTGTATTTGGGCTGGAGAAAATATTTTAAGCTGTAAAGAAGTAGAGTATTTTAAATTTAAGAAGTAGAAACACACAGGTCTTGCAGACACATTGGATGTCGAAGAAGGTGAGGAAGAGGAAGGTATTAGACAGATTTAGCTTTTGGCTTGAGTAGCAAGGAAGATGGTAGGACTGTTTCCATGGCATCTGTTGCTAGAATAGTACAGCTGAGATTGGGTGACGTAAAGAAGGGAGGTTTATTTTGGCTCATGGTTCTGAAGGACAAAAAGTTTAAGATTGGGTGACTGCATCTAATGAAGGCCTCATGTGTCTTCAACTCAAGCCGGAAGATGGAAGGGCAAGGGGGTATTGCAAAAGAGAGGAGAGGAAAAAGATTGTTTATACCAACCTACCCTCACAATAACTAACCAACTCTTCTGGAAACTAGATCAGTCCTTGCATGAACGTACCCTCCCCATGACCCAAGTACCATTTAAAAGCCCTAGAACTTCTCAATACCATTACATTGGTAACTAAACTCCAGCATGAGTGACGGTGGAGACAAACCACATTCTAAACCAGTGCACAGGGAGAGGAACATGGAGAGAGAACAGCCACTTTAAGCACGCTGAGTCTGAGATGTCTGTGAGACACCTGGGTAAGGTGGTTCAGAGGGTAGTAGGACACATAGGTCTGGAACTCAGAGGAGAAATCTTGGATAACGATGTAATTAGAATCCATCTGGAAGAATTTGATGGTTGAAATCTCAACCAAAGGTAAGATTTCCCCAGGGAAAGGGGGTAATGCAGGGGGTGGTGCATTAGAACCACTTGGGGGAATTAAGAACGCAG